TGCATGAGATTTTACTTACTTTGGAAAATAGGGCTCGGAGCCTTATACCACTTGAGAGCTTTTGATAAATCTCAGCAGGTTTTTAACTGCCTACTGTAAACTGGCATGTCTACACAGATAAGTAAATTAATGTGATTGTTTAAGTTTGAGACACTTTCTTCAGCCTAGCTTGTACCCTGCTGAAAACTCAAAAGTATTCCTTTAGGAAGTCACTTGTTCCTTAGAGCTCCAAAATACTGCCTTTAGTGCCTGTAATAAGCCTATAAGCTTATATATAAAGATTTTCAGAAGACTAAGTCACAGTGAGTGTGAGAAGATGGAGAGAAACCAGTCTAGTATGTTCTCTCCTACACGTCTAATTCCAGAAAAATGTTCCATTTCTCAGATTATATACACTAAAGCTTAACTGAGTAAGTAATTTTAAGCCGTGTGATTTATAACTAAATTTGTTGTTTGACAAAATCTTTGAATTTTCTTTAAAACTAAAGTTCAGCAACTGAAGTTTGTAATTGTTATCAAACACTGAGATTATTTGAGCCATTAAATGAAGCAGAATTGTTTTTCTATAGCAAAAACTTCCTGTTGGATTTTATTACAGAATATGGGAGTGCATCTCTCAGAATAAAAGGCTTATTTGTTGTGCTTGGTGTAATGAATTTAAAAGTTAGTTGCTATTACCTGTCTAGAGTATTTCTAAAGAGGATCCTTCAGAGAGTCGGAAGCTCCTTATTTTTGAGAACATGATGGCTTTTCAGAGGTTGGAAAGGATCTGAGTATCTGGATGCAAGGAATCTTAGATATGGCCAGACAAATAGTTTGACATGAGTTATAAAAAATAAGAGCAAAAATGAACATTTTAGCAAGCCATTTTTCCTATTTTTATAACTAGCTTCCTATTTAAAAGTGAAAAAGCTTCCTCTCCTGTTCTGCAGGGCAAAAGTCTTTCTTTGCAACTGGAGAAAAGAGTGTGTCTCATGGGAATGGACACTGACAGTAAGCACCATGATGTCAAAATACCAAAGCAAAAATATGGAAGTTAATTCTCTCCTGAGTATTGTTTTTTGCCACCTTGATGGTTCAGTTATGCCTTCACCAGGTTCACTGTGCTTGCATTACTTTACCTTTTAAGGCTGATGTTACATGTCACCGCGCCCAAAAAGATTTAGGGGAGTAGTACCTTTGCTTTTTCATACCAGCTTGCAGTGCTGTGGATTTTTCCACAATAAGAAGATGATGTAGGAAAATTACATTTTTCTATGAAGTATTATAAAAATATCAGCCTGCCTTTTGTGTGCTAGTGAACAGCTTTATAGCATCAGTCTCTCTTCTCAGTGCCTCGACTTCTGCTTAACACTGGATTTTTTTAAATGTATTTTGATGTACTTAAAAATTGATAGTAGTGTGGCCAGGTGTGATGTGGTTAGGAGGAGTTTTATATTTGGAGAATACAAGGTAAGTGATGAACAAATTTTTATAGCTGCCTGAAAGTTTTCTGACTGAATTTGAACTAAAAGCTTGCAGCTTATAGAACCCCAGATGGTTTGTGACTGGCCTCTTAAAACATGTTTTATGTCACCACAGTTGAGATTAGCTGAATTTCTCACTTCTCTCTTTCTTAGGGTAACTCAAAGGTTGGGATTTGGTTTATATGTTATATGTTTTGCTTGGTTTTGTCTGGGCTTTTTTGTTTTCTTTGTTTGTTTTGGGTTTTTTTTTTAAGGTATTCCCTTTAGTTGCATTTCGAGGCATTCATTCTGTTAGACTTCAAAATCCTTTATATTCCTTTCTGCAGGGCTGATGAGGTGGATATATTTATAGGTAGTCCTTATATCCATGTCTGGGCTGTAATTTTTAATTAGATGGGCAGCCAGAATATTGACTAAATTATCTCCTAATGTATTTTAAATAATTATACTACAAAAAAAAACAACTGTATTTGTCCATTTGTTCTTCTAAAACAGATTTCTTTGCATCATGCTTGTATGTTGCAGCCCAGCTTTGACTTTTGTCTGTCTTGCTTCTCTAGTAGTTGAAAAAGAAATTAAACATGCCAGATAAAAGTTTCTGTGATAAGGCAAGTTGAACTAGGTAACTATATAAATTATTATTTTATGTGAAATATAGAGGCTACAGAGCTGGCTGCGTTGGTTAGTTTGGCATGGGCCAGATTCTGAAAGAACTGAGACCATTTCACTCCAGTGAAAGGAATGTCTCTTTTTTTTTTTTTTTTTTTGTGAAATGGGAAGTGCATGACCCCTCCCTTCTGTAAGAAGGTCTTGTGTTCTGCTAGCAAGTGACTGCAAACCTTTTATCAATTATTATTTAGGCTGCTATCTTTATGAAGGAAGCTGGAAGCTATAAAAGTACTCCACAGCCAACATGTGAAAATGCATTTTATATATTTGTTTTACTTAAAGATGATGCTTGTGGATGTAGATCTGAACCTTCTGTCTCTCTTGTTAGTACCACACGAGCAGTGTTGTCCTTAGTTACCAGACAACAAACATGTACTTTCTTACAGTAGTTTGCAATGACTTTCTTATTTTCGATCATGTTTTACTAATGAAGGTAATATCTTTGTTCAAATCTGTTCTTGTAGATACAGTTGCTAAAACAAGATCTCTGCTGTCCATTATGTACTCTTTTTATTTCATATTTCTGCATGTTCTCATCACTCTTGTCCCTTTGTCCTTATGCTTTCCAAGACTGTTACCTGAATTCTTAGCTTGTTTGCTTTGTCAGGGAACAAGCAATTTCTTTTTATACTTAGCATGTAAAATGGAATGTGCATGTTTTTTTGATGATGTGTTTCTGTCTACAGAGAAATTTTCCTTTCTCTGAAGCAAGACTGCATTTTTGACTAGTCACTAGTCCTTTCAATTGGAGTTTATTGTTGCTGACTAAATTCAGTGACTGGAACATGTTGAGCTTCTATTTATGGTTATTAAAATTGAGAAATTATGTGCTGGCTTGATGAAATACATCTTTGCTAGGTGAGACTTTTTCAAGGATTGTTTCCTGTTGCTGAAGTCTAACAACTGATTACAAACAGGCCTTGGAATCGTTCTTTGTGGGACATGTAGTGCAAATTGCTCCTCGTGTCAATGCTCATTGCAGTCTGACAGTTGTACAAGAACAGGGTCAGGCAGAAGAAAACCAAGTTACCTCTTGCTCTTTCCAGATGCTGTGAGCCAGCTGTGAGTTTTCTGCTGGAAAGGGAGAATTTAAGCTGCTGTTGAAAGTAGATGATTGCTGCCTGCTGCATGAATGGGTTCTGTTTCATGAACATGGTTTTAAATGGCAAGAGAGTTTTCAAAGATGATGGCTTCTTGTTCTCTGGCTGGTGGGCAATAACCCCTCAAGAATGGTGCTGTGCCTGTCTGCCTCTTGGTGTTATTCCTCAGGAAGGCTGGTTCCTACTTTGCAAATGATGCTTTTATTTTTTTGCTGTTATCACTCTCTGCATGGATGCAATTGCACTTCTGCCCCTTCCCAGAGTTCCTGTTTGGGTTAAATGAAACATTAGTCTGTGATGTTTACAGCTATGTACCTGGAAGTTTTAAGGTTTTGGGAGTTTTATTCCTACTCCTTCATCCCATGAGCTTCAAAGAAACCTGTGTCTTATTAAAGGCTTTTGAATCTCAAATATTTTTAAATGTAGACATCTTTCACAACTACAGTAATCCATCAATTCTGGCTTTTAACTACAGGATCCTGCAATCCTAGATAGAAATTTTGATTAACAAAAGAGGAGTAAGAGCAGTTAGAGCTTATTCTAAAGTGGCTAGTTGGGGGGGATGGAGGAGGCAAATTACTGTAAGTACCAAAGTATTTTTAATACTTTCTCCTGGAACTCTCTGCCAGTTGTTATGTTAGGCTCTGTTTCAATCTTGCATGTGTTTTAAATTAAATATATATAAATAAATGTTGGAAGAATGTATTATCTTTAGTACTTTCTGTTCTGCAGATGAAAAAAACATAAGCCTTTTGCTCTACATAATTTTAGTATGCAACTAAGTTTTGAAAATATTAAAAAAAAATAAAGCCTAAGGTGAGAATTTTACTGTAAATGGCAACTATAAAAAAAAAAAAAAGATGGTGAGCTGGCTGCTTACTGTAAAAACTCAGTACTTTGGGGAAATCAGATTTCCCTTTCCCTTAGAGAGATGGTCTGGAACTATCAAAACCTCCTGATTTCTCAGATGATAGAGTCTAGTAACTTTTACCAGAGGAGCAATCCTTTCTATGAATTTTGTGCTCTGTTGGAAGGCTAGAGCATGTTTGAGAGAGTACAGACTGGGTTGTGTGATTTTTGTGCCATTAGTCCAATGAAATTATCTTGAGCTAAGCTAAACTGTAAATTTGAGCAGGTCTAAATAGAGCTGTTGTCTCTGCAGTCCCTTAGCTAAGTTCCGATGGACATAAAAAAGTTTGTTCATATAAATTAAAAGGATGTTCCAGGCGCTGCCTGTCCTGTTATGATCATTGATGGGATATTGTCCTATTTTAATTAAACACTGATTTTCTTAGCATGAAAAGAACAAAGGGCAGTTTTCTGTGACAAATCTGACAATACCAGGCTTGTGTATGTAATTCAGGTGCACAAGAGATTCTGCCCACCCCTACAGTAAAGCCACAGGGGGCTCATTTCAGCACATGGAATTTTTCCTCATCCTGCTAAGAGCCAATTTTGTGCCTTGTGGAATGGGCACATAGACATTTTGACCTCTGGAGTGAATGATTCCGCTTGTGATATACATACCTTTGGAGAACAAGAAAAGTTTGTATTTGGATACACAGAGTAAAAGTGGACTTCAGTTACAACCATCAAGCTTGTATTCCCCTGCTAATATCATCACAGGGCATCAACCTACAGAGTGCTCTGTCTTCTTGCCAGTGTTCGTGTTAAAGTGGTGTTTAAATAGAGATGCTTTCCTTATAGAAGTGTACTTTGAAGAGGCTGAAGATGATCACTGAAGTCAGATACTCAAACTGATTTAGCTTTTATTTATTTCCCTCTTCCTGTAGGCTACAGTTCTGTGTTAGTCATTTATCATGGAATGAAGTTGGTGTTGCCACTCTGGCATTGGGATTAAAGTAGAAGAAACTTTGGAGGAGAGGAATTAACAGAAATTTATAAGATATTGCTTACATAAATAACAAAACAGTAGTATTTATACCCTCTTATAGCACAGTTAACTAGAGTAATACATACAGTGACACTATGACATGGACTCAGCTGCCATTGCACTATACATAGCTGACTTGTTCTTCTGTTTTATCAACTTCACTCTCTGTGAGCAGCAATGTGTCCAGCAGAATGGCTGATGAGGCTTGGATGGGTGAGCTCCTCAGCCTCATTGGGCTCTGGTACATAATGGGATTAATCCCGTTTCTCATCCCGTGCATGACAAAGAGCTTGGAGTTTTCTGCCACAGAGCTTCTGAAAGAGATCCTCCTGGAGCGCTTCCGAAGGGCCTTGATAGGCTTTGTGGTCCGATAGTTGCAAGTGATATACCTGCTGAAAGCCTCCCTAAATGTTTTGTTGAAGAGTGTATAGACAAGTGGGTTCACTCCTGAGGATACATAGCCTATCCAAACAAATATCTCCATAAGCTTTTGGAAAACCTCCTTGTTGCAGGAGTTGCACAGAACTGAACTTATGTTTGTAATGAAGAATGGGCACCACATCAACAAGAAAAGAAAAAATACAATGCCCAGAACTTTTGATGCCCTTTGTTCGTTGGTTATTGTCTGCATGGACTTCCTCCCAATTGTAGATGTTCTACAGATAGGCATGTCACTGGACAAAATCTTGTCCTTTCTGGAGCCATTTAGCATAGCCACCTTTTCTGGTGAGGAGGCAGGAGTTGTGTCACGCTGAAATACTGTGGACACTGTTGACCAAGTGAAACGCTGAGGTGGCTTGTTGATCAAGTAGGCTTTCTTGCGTAGCACTTGGATTGTCAGCAAATAAGTAACGATCATGATAGCGAGGGGAATGAAGAACGCAGCCACCGATCCATAGAGAATGAAGTCGTGAAAACGATCGGGCATCAAGGCACACGTGATGTTTGTAGAGTTGCCATCTCCATCCTCAATGCCTCTGATAGGGACCGGAATAGCAATGCCTACAGGAGAAAAACCAAGTACTTCAGCATGTGGTAATCACTTGCAGTCTTGTTTTTTGGATGAAGCTTCAGAGTCTCTAAAGAAAGATAGTTCCTGAGCTCTGGAGCAGGAACAGGGTGACAGAGAGAATGTGAATTGTTGAGAGCATCACATGGGTAATTGGGCAAATAGTACTTGATGAGACTTAGCAAGCTCAGCTTTAACTGTGCCCTTTCTAAGGAGATTGGGCCTAACCCTTAGTGACAGAGGAGGCATTATGAAGTTGCCAACTTGACAAGTGTAAAACACATGAATTGCTTTGACTCCAGTTGTTAGAATTAGCATGGCTTTCCCTCTACTGAAATGTGTCCCTAATGCTATCTGCTTGCCTTCCCCCACCCCCACCCCAGGATAACCTTCATACTTTTTGAAGAGCTTTGTACTTTTTGAAATTCTGTAAATAACTAAGACTTGTGTTTTCCTTCTTATCTGAGCCGCATCAAGCGACTGGACACAGACAGCTGATTTTTTTTCACCCTGCTTGACTCTTTCATATATACAAGTAGTTAAATAGATGCCAGAACTATGCAATGTGTGTTTGTGATGCATTTGTTGTTTAAAGTCTCTTGCATATTTAAGAGTGTTTAAATGACGCTAGCTAGCTCTGTAATTCACCACTTGTGTTTTTTAAAAAAAATGTTAGCAATCTTGTCTTTTAAATGAATTTTTTATAACTGCTAAATTATAGTCAGCACTTCATTTGCCAGCAGTCTGACATTACAACAAAAACAACAGGTTCCTTTCTGTCTGGTAAAGGTTATTTGTGCTGTGTTTCCTGATACTACTTAATGAGATGTAGGGATTTACTGTATTCCTCTGCTACCCTGCTATGGAAGTTGGTTGAAGCAGCAAGAGCAAAATGGTTTACCCTTCAGACACTTGACCCCTTTCTTAGTAAGAGGTACACCTTCAAATACAGCAGACATTTAAAATGAGCACTGAACCAAATTAACCTTTGATTTGGAGAACCCTGGCTCAGCTGTGTACTTTTGTGTGGGATAAAAAAGAAAAAGTATGACACTGATTAATAACGATCAATCAAGTCAACTCATAAGTGTCTTGTCATGCTAACAGTTTCCTTTTTCTGTGATAAAACCGAGATAGCATCTTTTCTCCGATCACCACAGCTCTTCCAGAAATTCTTCTTCATGTTGGAAATTCTGTCTTTAGGCATGTATACCTCTGCAAAGAAGGTAGATGTGCCCATTCTCCTGTGCATCACTTGCCTGAATAATGCAGAATAGTTTTGTTTTCTCATGCACACAGAGCATACAGCACTATGCCTATGGCTGCCTGCAGCATGCATTAAGTTATTTGAATTATATGTTTTCACTTTCTTTAGCTTATTTAACACATTTATTTTTTTAAGCATTAAAGACAGGTCAGGTGATATCACAAAAATCAGATGATATCAAGATATCACAAAAATGTTACTATCATGAAAGTTAATATATTGGCATCCTTTATATAAACTCTTCAAGGGTTGTTATTGGAGGGGTTTTTTTGCTTAGAAGTTAGCCTTTCTATATGCTATATATGCTATATTGCCAGTACATCTCAGTCTTCAGTGTGAGTGTTACCAGCCACTCCTTCATCTTTCAGTCTTTGATGTCGTTAACTTGTTGTGGTTTAGTGTTTTTTGTTTGTTTTTTTTTTTTTTAACTTGATACGTGGGTCTGTTGTAAGGCACAGATTTTAGCAGCACCTACTCAAGGCTTAAAAATGTGTTTTGGAAAGAATATACTACCACAGGAACATGACATCTTGTATTCCTAGGAGACACGCTATGCATGCAGATAGTGTCTTCTGATTTTTGGACATTTAGGACCATGGAGAATGATGATTATCCCTACTCATTTCTTTCCCTTTCTGGTAAGCCTGATAAAGAGCAGTAGTTTAGGCAGATTTTTGTTATTTTTTTTTATGATGTAGCCATTTATGATCCAGGAGATGGACTTAGGGCAGCGCAGACGCTAGGGTCTGCTAATCAATAGTACTTGGCCAAATATTCCATTTTGCCCAGGTTTCACCTGTTTAGGACATGAAAAGCTTCTTCATTCCTTTTCCAGTGTCTGAGTCTCACATACCTATTGAAATGAGCCAAACCACGATGATTTTGATGATCGTTGTAGCCCACGAATTGTATTGACTAGCCTGGATTGGCTTTTTAATCGCAATATAGCGGTCTAGTGAGATGGCACAGAGGTGCATGATGGAAGCTGTGGAAAAGAGGACATCAAGGAACAGCCAGATAGGACACAAGGCAGTTGGTAAAGGCCAGGCGTTGTCTGAAAGAGAACAAAAAATTCATTGGAATCTGAGCTTTTGGGGAGTTTTCAGTGTCTGATTTTTCTCTTGGCATCAGTAGCTTTGAGAGCTACGGGAGCTGAGCTTTGTCACTGCCTCGGCTGGATTCTGTCTTATGTTTTAGTTAGCTCCTAACCCTCATGGTTGTTGCCATCACATTGGTCAAGCTGCTTGTGTATTATAAGCCTTTCCCTGTCTCTTTTATAAGCTTTGTGGCAAGGACTCTGGATAAAAAAGTTATTTTAAAAATGAGCCATGACTGTGCTTGGTCCTTGCGCCCTGCTGCTAAATGATTATTTTCAGCTATGTCTCCTTGGTAGCCCTATGATTCAAGGTTCTATTAAATGGAGGAGATAACGGGTCATAACCATTTATTAGTCATTCAGCCATGGTTGAATCTTAGTGGTGATCTTGAAGAATCTAGTTCACACAGTTTTAAAATGAGTTTACTGTGTCACTTCACCCAATACAGATGAGCACTAACGTGATAAAGCAGGGCTCTTGTGTCTCACTAATGAAGTGATGATTGCAATGGCTTGGATTTTAAGTCTTACAGTAGTTATCTGTCTTTAATGTTAATCTTTATAGCAGACAGACTCTGTCAACCTTATTATGTCCAAGATTAAGGTTTTGTAGTGCTCAGATTTCCAGAAGGCTTGTATTTTTGAGAGCTGAGTTTCCTCTATCAATGTTTACAATACCAAACCAAACAAACTTCAATGAAACTCTGATTATTCTTTTCTTGACTACATTATTTTCACTTCCAGGTAGTTTGTAGTGCACTCCAGTGCTAGCAGTGTTCAATTTGAGGTGCACCTTAGTGTTGTGTACCTTACAGACATGTTCTGTAGCCCTGGGGAAGAGTGTGAACACAGAATTTTTTTTCTGATGGTGGAAGTTGATCTACTAAATATATTCTTCTTCCTTAAAGATTTTATCTATCCTCAATCAGTAGGCACATTAATAGTATCACCAGAGAAATCAGTTCTTGAATGACTGTTGGGGGGAGAAGGGAAAGACGTTTCTAACAAATCAAATAGTTTTAAACTTCTTGCTCTGAATAAGTAGATCTGCATGCTGAGAATGCCATATAAGCTGACTGTTCTAACACCCAGTCTTATCAATGTGATAATGTTACAGAGTTTGAGATCAAAATTTTTTTTTTTATAATGTGACTGATAGATGGAAATTACTATGCTGGTGTCTTGACTTTAAAATTATCAACTCAAAACAATGGGAAATTCTATGAAGTCAGACATAGCAGGTACTTGTCTGCTTTCTTACCTGTGTGGGGAAACCTCACTCCATTCATTGCCAGGGATGGGTGGAGCCCAGAACCTCACCTCACCAAAGCAGTGGACTTCAGGTGAGGATGATACAGGCAGTGAGGCAGAAGGGGAAAGAGAAGGTCTGTTTTCAAATCACTAACCAGTAAACTTTAGTATCTAGCTGCATACTTCCTGAAATAGATACCATGGTTGAAACTAGGCTTCAAAAAATTATTCTCTCAGGCAGGTATGAGGAAGTTGTAATTAGTGCATTAAGAAGTGTTTACTTGTATTTAATTTTTCTGTCTACAGTTTCAGCTGGCAGTAAAGGTATGGTGTCTTTCTGAAGGAAAAAAGGGAAACCCAAAATGTCTGGTAGATCATGTAATCAGCTCTTTAAAAAAAAAAAAAAGGGGGAAAAATAAAACCCAGATAAAATAAATAATTGATTTGATGGGCTTTAAATGTTTTTACTTATTCCGGAAAAATAAGAATACTTCTTTTGACTCTTTGATGAAGGATTAGTTCAGATAAAATGTGAACAATGGGAAGTGTTCTACATCATGAAGGACTGCAGATAACACAGCTGGATTTCAAGTGAACAGCTCATACTTCTGTTGGAGAGTACTTCACGTGCAGCTCTCTGGATTATAATTGCTTTTCTTTTTAGAGAATTGCAGTGTGAAAAATTTTCTTTTGTAGTTAATTTACTCTCTGCAGAAGAAAACCCTCAAATATTTTGCATCAAATAGGTCTTTCTTTTAAATAGAAATGAACTTAAACATCCATCTGATACAAAGTAACCTTGTATGGTTTTGGGTTGTAAGAGCTTTTTTTAGTTAAGTGCAACTGAACAGAGAAAGCTTTCTCTTCTTTTTGTCTTGTTTTGAACTGAATGCAGAAGGCAGTAAGTTACCACATTCATCATTACAGCATTACGTACTATTATATCTGTATGAGATGATGTTTATTCAAACAAAATCAGAGTAGACTTTAAATGCAGTAGCTGATAAGAGTTGAAGAATATGGTGGTTATTTAGACAAAACAAATATTGGGAAACTGATACCTTAAAAGTCTGTAAGAGTCACATAGTGTCTTGGGTTTGTGCTGTGATGTTTTGCTTTTACTTATTTTGATTTGTTGGTTACACCTGTGTTAGAAACTCTGTACCTAGTGTTTGAGAGACTACTCTTAAGAGAAGATGAGCTTTTACTGCAGCTGTCTACCCGTGATGAATCTTTATTTAAGAAAAGTTTTATTTATAGGAAATACCTTGGAAATGTGTAATCCTTAAAACAAAGTACAGTATAGAAGAGCTGCTCTTGATATAAGCCAAAAGGTTTCTTAAAAGCTTGGTAGAAAGCACTGCTTGTGTACATCTGTAAGCATGATTAAGAGAGGTCTTTAAATAGACTTGGAAACCGTTTGTCCTTCAGCTATAAGGGCTGCTGAAACATCTTGCCTGTAGAGGATTTTGTGATAGGATTTTATTATAGGCTGCTGAAATGTGTTGCCTGTAAAGGATTTTGCCGCTCTTAGGTAATGATGCTTTTACTGAGATGGAAATTGGATCTTTTTAATCACTAGCTGACTGAAGCTTCAGTCTCCAGACTGGTGTGCCTGTGTGGTGTTGGTCCTCACGTCAGCGTTCAGAGCTCGGAGGAGTGCACGGACCTGCCGTTTCCAGGCTGCTGTCTGCCTCTTCCCTCCCCGGGGCTGCCTGCCTTTAGTTCGCTGCTACAATTACAGCTTCAACCACAGCTGTTCAGTGGCATGTAACTTTTTGAATTTCACCAAAGTAATTATTATTTTTTTTAATTAGAATTGCTTTATGAGGAATAAAACTTTATTATCTTATCCTTAGATTTGAGATTTAGGAAAGTAGCCCTTAATTAAAGCAATTTTCTCTGGTAGTTTGCACACGCAAAAAGGAAACATTTGCTGTGGTTCGTCATCATTAGTGAGGGAAGATTAAGATGGTGATTTTGCTTGTGATAGATTTTTAAAATTGTTTGCAGCCTAGGATGATCAAGATTGCCTTCAGATTTTTAAGTAGATGAATATCAGGAATAGAGTATTTTAAAAGATGGTATATGCATTGTCTGCCAGTAACTCATTGCCCCCCAGGCTGTGGGCAACAGACTTCTTCCTGCTGCACGCTTTGCAAATGAGAGGCTCTTTCCTATTTATTTGCTGTTTTCACTGTCGGATGAATAGCAACATTTTTTGCTTACCTTCAGTAGTTCTGAGTGTTAGAAATTTGGTTAACTCTTTTGACAGATTTCAGAGAATGTAGTTATTTCCTAACATGCCCTACTTTTTTTTTAAGAAATGAGAATTTAGCAAGCAATAAAAGCAATGAACAGTTTGTATATTGTGACACTCGCATTCCTAAATTAAAATTGTAGTGTATATTTGTACCAGAATATGTTTTGATCCCTCTGCTGAGAATAAATGATCTGCTGCTTCTGGTATTATACCAACGAGTGAGTAACAGATTTATTCATTTTTGAGTTAATAAAAATAAAAAGGGCTATAAAGTACAGTGACAGTCTATTTCTGAAGATTTTTCTGTAAGTGTACCATCAGGGCATAGAGCTAATATCTGTAGTAGATTTTGAATGCTCTGTGACATATTAGTTTTTACAGTCAGGGTCATTTGATGTGACTGCACTTTAATTCACACCTTTTCCCTCAAATATTCTTCGCATAATTAGATATCAGTCTCAAATCTGAAACATAATATTTGTATTCTGTATCTGAAAGCTGCACACAGCCATTTCATTATTCTGGAAGCATTCCTATGTGGAAGTGCCAAGAGGCTGGGTTTAATTTTCTCCCTGGCTATCAATGATTTTTCTATGTTCAAGTAGTTATCTGGCTAATGTAGCTTCCAGATTTAGACTTGTTATACATTTAAATGTCTATTCTATCTTCATTCCGGTAACTCCTCATGTTTTGCTCATGCTTTGGGCTTCTGTAAACACCTCAGCATCTTCTCCCAGTTGGTGAAGAGGCAAAGCAGTTTTTCTGGTTGGTTGCCAAATAGACTTCTATGCAAGAAATTCCAGTTTTCACCACTGCTATGTGAGAGGCTGGTCGTAGTCTTACTTAATTATAACTCATTTTGCTGCTTTCTTGTAAATTTCCTGCAAGATGAAAGATGCTTTTGTTTGACTTTTAAATTAAGATTCCTAGCATGTTTAAACTGTTGTAACCAGGGTTTAGCCCTGGATTAATTGAGAGATTAAGGAGGAATAGTCTCTTTATCAAGTTAAAAATAAAAGATTTATTAGTCTAGCAAAATGAAAATAACTTTTAAAATTTCAGAACAAAGACTCCACTCCCTTCAAAAACCTACTTCACAAAATCCAGAACTTGCCTTTTCTTCATATTGATTGCTAGCCCAATACTAGTACTTCTTATGGTTAGTTGTTTTATTTTTATTACTAATGAGGCTTTTGGCAGGAACTAAGTAGTTACAGTGCCTCTGTGTGTGTATATACATATATTTTTCATGCCTCTACACACACGTGCACATACAAGACATGCCAAGATTTTTATAAGTGACTGTTTTTTGTGGTTTTTTTTTTCAAGTTAGAAATCACTGTCCTGGTCATGTATGTTCATTTTTCTTTTTAGAAAATTGTTGTTTGAAGTAAGACTATTTTATGATATCAAGACTGAATTTTGACATCCAATTCATACTTCTGTTGAGGTAGCAGCAGTCTGTAGTATACAGACATGTAGACTCAAGGCATTTAGTGAATAAACACATTTGTTAATAAAGTGATACCAGTCTTCTGCAGCAAACAAAAGCTACTGGTGGCCTTTCTGAAATAAAGTTTATGATTGTGTTTGCTTGTTGCTCAGGCAACTCTTAGAGATCTAGCAGAGGAAAAAATGAACTCCTGCAGCCCTTCATTATTTAGAGCCCAGTGGTATCTGTATCTTAAAGATAACTGTTCAAATCTGTAAGTTTATTGAAAAATACATCTGAATTTTTTCCCATTTGTATGATACAAAAATAGATTATTTAAAATGTATTCTTAAAGAAACGTTAACAGTAAAAGACAGACTCCCATGGAGCTGCCTCTGATTAGCTGTCAAAAGCAATATCTGAAATAAAGCTGGTCATGAGAGAATACAAAAAGGTCATGCTTGTTCTGTAGTGACTAACCAGAAAGAAAATGTCACACCCAATGTATGTTCACGTAAAAAATAACTGCTTTATTTATCGTTTAGTCCGGATCCTATAGACTGAGTCTCAAACATTAGGTACACAGACTGAGGCATCCTTGGCTTGACACATAATTTAATTCTTTGGGATGCTTTATGAACCTGCTGCTTTCCCCAGGGTGGGAGAAAATCAGTATCTCTGAAACTGGTACTAGTAAAGTTTGTTGTCAATGATGCTGCCAGGGACTGTCTGTGACTGCTTATAGAGCATAGAGACAATAATAGGATAAAATCAGGTGCCCTGACTCCTAGAAAGTTGAAAACCTGTTTAGTGAAGAGATACCAGGTCTTCATTTCACATTTTTTAAGAGAATACTGCCTACAATTAGTATAATACCCAATAGAGCAGATGATAACATTGTGCTGATGCTATTAAAAATAACATTACACTGTACAAAAGGTAAGTGACCATATCTAGCTCTAATTTAGTATCAGCTCTAAGTCCTAGGTTGTTTTCAAATGGTTTGTCTCAAAGGAAAGAATATCCACAGTGGATGTACTTCCCATAAAGACATTAAACTATATTAAGGTGAGAGGGAAAGAAGATTCAGCAGCCCTCATCCAAGGGATTTTTAAAATTATAATGATGAAAAGCAAACAGGTTTTCTGTTTAAATTAGACCTCCCTGAACTGTATCCCCTATGTTAGTCTGATGAAACAAACACACTGTACTTACCAAATAATATTATGAGAAGGGCAATCGGCATCACAAACAGACCCACGAGCAAATCTGCCACTGCCAAGGACGTCAAAAAGTAGTTGGTGGCATATTGCAACTTCTTCTCCAGAGACACTGCCAGTATGACAAGTATGTTCCCCCCGATGGTGGGGATTATCACCAGGAGGATCAGCAAAGCTGCCCAACGCACTTTGTTTCCTTGTTCCTCACTTGGGTAGTCCTGCTTGGGCTCTCCTGTTACTGAGAGAGGTGATAAAGATCCATTGCCAACTCCAGATCCGTTCAAGAAAAGTAGAGGATAGGACATTTTTGTGTCCAGGAGAATATATTCAGGAGCTGTATTTTACACAGGAATTGTGTATGGTGTAAGAGTTCACTGTTCCTCTCTGCTCCAAGATGATCCTGAAGAAAGGCCAGCATGGTCAGTATGGTAAACTGGTCATCTGCTATTTTGAGATACTGTAACCATGTCCGAGCTGGTATCCTATTCTTTTTTTTTTTTTATCCTGTGCCTTGCTGTGTGCAAGTAAGTCTTAAAAATGCAAGTCTTGTCTTGTGTCCATCTCTGGTTGGTAGAGTTCGGTGGTCTGGTCTCTCCTTAATAGCCAGGTTCAGGTTTCAGATTATAGGAGACAATTCAGTAGCTGTGAAAAGTAAGCAGTGCATTTAGAGTCTTCTTTACTTTTTTTTTTTTCTTTCTACAGCAGTAAAATGTGATAGATGAATTTGGATGCCAAATGGTTCCCTTTAGACACTGTGTAGGTAGATTTGCTCTTTGTAAGTACAAACTGATGCAAAGGCAGATGCTCGCGTTGTGTATATGCAACTCCTCCTCTCCCAAGTGTCTAGTCTCCAGCAGCGTGTGCGTAGGCAGACAGCAGTTCCCATATTTTCCCCTATTAAGAATCCTATTTCTCCACAGAGGGTCACCCCAAAAATATCTTCAGAAATGATGTATGAGGTTTCCGTTTTTATGTCTGCAGTTCTGATTTATCAGGTGAGGGTCAGGAAGCTGTAGACAATAAAACAGTGGTGACAGTCTCAAGGGGACTGTAAAGATTTATGGAACTGAGGCATCTAATTTTACTCATTACTTGGAGGGGGGTGAGTAAACCGCTTGTTTCTGTAATCTGAGCAGGGCTTTCACTAAGCACAGCCTCTTCTTTCCCGCTCTGTTTCTCTGTCTCAACTCTGCTGAAGACTTAACGCTTACATTTTCCCCTTCAAGCAGAGACTAAAACAGCTGTCACAGCATTAAGCTGAACGAACGCTTAGTTACTGAGGAGATTTGACAAGTTGCAGTTTTCAGGTGAAGAAAGTCTTACCTCTTGTCTTTTAGTAGAGTTCACTTTGCATCCAGGAAGATCCTTCCTTTGTAATTTTCTTTTTCATCATGTGGTTGATTTTAAGATAAGATTTTTCACTACTTTCTGGAAAACAAGTTGTAATTTGGTTTTCATTTTTATAATTTTTCATAAGCCAGTCTCTTTGTGTGCTTTTGTTGAGCACTTATGTTTCTTCTAACACCAAGATTTTGGAAAAACTATATTTCTTACCCAGGTATTTTCTCCCAACTCTTGAGTGGAGGAGAGGAATCATTCTTGCCACATTTAAAGAAGATAGAAATAAGTTTGTGTTCTTTTTTTGCTTTCTCTTCTTTTTTTTCCTTTCTCTTCCATTCTTTTGATGATTTTACTAAAGTGATCAGCAGAGTCTTTGTGCAGCTTTCTCTTTGTTCATTAGCAAAGCTTTCAGTCTGCTGCTGCCCTTGTTTGTTGATTGACTCACTCCAGTGTATCCAGCTCCAGTGCTTGAAAAGCAGGGAAGTAGATGAGTGGGGGTTTGGCTGGAAAAGAGCCAGAGAGGGTTGATTGGTTCAGTGCTCCAGTACTGTAATGTGTGCTCCTAGTAGCTGTATCAGGATGTGCAGGTCCTGTAAAGGACCCTTCAGGTAACGGTACTGTAGCTCCTACGGCTGCTCGCTCCCTCACTTGCTCACTGGACAGAAGCACAGTTAACCCTAAAAAGTTCTGCTGCCCTGTAAACACTCCAGTTTTGATTTTTTTTTTTTCCTAATTTTATACAAGTGTTGTCTAGCACACTATTTTAAGTGTGTGTACTGTTACTTTAAATCTTTCTTTGTGCAGATGGTTTTTATTATCATGAGTATTCTCTTTCATTACCTCCCAACTTTCAGTCGCATGTGTGTATGGTCTCTAATGTCATCTTACAGTTCTGCATTAAAATGGAAATAGACCTCACTTCCAAGGACATTAGCTGGATAGGTGTGTAATACAATCTTTGAGTTTAAGGCCAGAAAGACCATGAGATCACGGTCTGACCCCCTGTATGTTATCAGTCATGAGCTACTCGTGCTCACCAAGCTTGAGGTGGGAATTATCCTCAGTGAACTGTGATTCAATTTATATTTGTTTTTAAAAAAAATTAAAAGCATTAATATCTTTAGGATACAGCTACTTTGGGGCCAAAGAAAAAGCTGCTGCCAGAAATTAATAGAAATACTTGACTTAAAATTTGTTCAGCTTATACAAAAGAATTTCCAACAAAGTATTTCTCACTTGTTATTTTTCCCTTTTAAAGGAAATCTTCAGTAAGATTCTGTGCTATAATCATTTACAATTGACTTTCAATATCTTAATTCCTCAGAAAAGTATATATGTTAGGAAATTAATTACAATAGCTGGATAAATCTTTGATTTCCTTATCTGACCACCTCCCCATTGTCACCCCTAATAGTACTGAGAGAGCAGAGTATATGAAAACATACAAAAAGCAGAAATTGAGACAGGACAATACTGTATTGGGCTAATGAGTTTTGGATTAATTTTTCCTTAAGTTCAGCTATGTCTAACGAGCTGCTGTTTCGTTTCATAAATCTTGAAGGCTCTTCTGGCATTAATCAAACTGTACTTGAAGTCTTTACCAACATTTCCATTGGATTAAATGCAGCCAGTGTTCACTCTTTCTGATTATACAGATGAAGCTTGTTTTCCATCACTATTGACACTTGAGCTATTTTTTTTTTCCTTGTTGAAAGATGGCTAGAATTATTACCACTTTCTGGAGATGGAGCTATTAGCAGTATGCCTGCATAATAAATGGAAAAATAACCCCCAGAAAATGTTCTGGAGCAAACCAACCAAAGTATAGTAGAAGATAGATTTATCTTTCACTTCAGTCATCTCCTTGTGGGTGTATGCCATGTGCCAATTTTCATGTCACATCTCTGAATAAAAAAACAGAATTAAAACTTTCAGGGAAAAAATAGACTATGAATCTATCAGAACCATCTGCTAATCATCAGCACCAGTTGCAGGTCAAGCTTGTGTTGAAGCTGAAGCATTATCTTGAAAGTTTTGGTTTTTTATTTTTTATTTCAAATTTTCTCTGTCACAGCACAGTAGACACTAGCTTTCAATCACTTCGGTCAGTGTAGGGGAAATATCAGAGTTATAAACATGTAATTTTGTCAGCTTAAGTTCTATATTACCTCTACGAATTTTGATCACAGATCTTACCATCTGAGAAGCATCACTGTTGGTTACTGCAGTAAAGAACTCCTTTTGGTCAAAGTGAAAATCAAGTGTTCCCACTTCTCTGGAATGCTTCAGTGGATGTTATAATGTCATTTATATGACAGAATCATCTCTTTAGCCACTGCAATGGCTAAATTAAATAAATTGGGAGGGGGGAGGCACCTTGATGAAGCACCAGCTGAAGGCTGTACCACTGCCTGTAAATCGTTCTGATGAAAGCTGTATAAATGCATTCATACATAATTAAAAAGAAAAATATATATTTTAAATAGAGATGAAAATAGTGGTTTCTTAGGAACTCATGTAGGAAGATGATATGAGTTTAGCTGGACACAGGCTTGCACAGCATGTATACTTGCTTGGTGCATTGCTTTCATTTCAGATGGCTAGAAAGCTTATCTACCTTTTGGGATGTTTTTTGAACTTTCCCAGGTTTGAGTCATTTCTGAGAAACACATCTTCCTGTATATCTAATACAGATCTGCAGCAGGTTCTTCACTGCGTGCCTCTGGCCAGGCTTTTTGTGCAGGCCACTCCCCTGCCCCCTTGTCCAGTTCCTCTGCTGCATTAATGAGTGTTAAACCCTAACTCTTGGTAGACACCACTCTAGGTCCGCTGTAACCGGAATATTTGAACCATGCATAGGTGGTTTTTTGTTTCCCACCTCTTGCTGTTATTTCTGTGTTCAAATTGCCCATAGGATTTTATTTGAATGGAGCCATGTGCACACTGGATGTGAGCTGACAGTGGTGACGGTGTTGTTCAGTCGGTGCTTATCCCTCAAGTTCATCTGCTGAGCCTGTTGGCAGCACTCAGACTCAGCCTTCTCACAGTGGGGGGGCCTCCTTGAATTTCTCATTTTTAGCAAGTCTTTCTTAGGCAACCAGGAGGCGTTTCACAGAAAAAAAAAATTCTGGAGGAGGCTGTGTTGCACTGAGATAGCTGCAGAAATTCCTGGCGCAGGAATAGCTCAGATCCTTTTTCTGGAGAGAGAGAGTTGGGGTTTACATCCATGCTTAGTCTATACTGAAATATGTCAGTTTGTTGCCTTTTTCTATGCAGGTTTTCCATCTTCTATGTTTTCTCCTCTCTGCTGCACCCCACCCTCTCTCCAGAAATTACTGCAAATTGTGCAGTTTGTTATCTGCATTCCTCCTTTATTAACTCATTCATTGTTGAAATGAAACTATTGTCAAGCTTTCCTTTTTTTATCTGGCACTGCACTACTGTGTCAGCTTGTGGAAATAGCTCTGTATCAAATGATTAATTCATGCCCAATAGTTTAGAAAGTCACAAATATTTAGATTTTTTTGAAATATGACTGGGAAGACTTAATGATGAATTTAAAAGATATTTAACATTGTTCTTTAATTCTCTGACGTTTCATTTTTCAATGAGTTGTAAAGTCCTTAAATATTTAGACTAAAAAATAACTGTATGTTAGTGGTGCTTCAAACACTTCCATTTTTAGTCTCAGTCACAAGACCAGTGTGATTTTTTTTTATTATTATTCTGTTTATTTACTTATTTATACTACCTTATATACATATACAGGATTTCATGTTTAAATATTGCTGAAGTAGAAAAGACAGTAGTTATCTAACCTTCAGGATGTGGAACTTGCAGAACTGGACATAAACTGTGCAAAGGTGTTTGGATGTGATTCTAACTGGGCTGTGGTCTAAGAAACTTAAGTGGATTATGCTTCAAAATGTGGCAATATGAGTTTTTAATGTGGTGTTGCGTGCCT